GCGATCCTTCCGCCTCAGCCTTCCAAGTAGCCGGAATTACAGGCATGCGCTACCATGCCAGGCTGATTTTTTGATTTATTGTAGAGATGAGATCTTGCCAAGTTGCCTAGGTGGGTCTCGAACCTGCATGCTCAGGCAATTCACTCACCTCAGCCTCCCAAAGGCGCGGGATTACAGGCTGAGCCACCGAGCCCAGCTATTTTTAAGCTTTCCAAATGTACTATCTTTTTAATTCAAACATCTGACATCCATGGGTTAAAGTGGATTGCTTATATGGGGAACCGGATATATTTGATCATTGTAACTCTCCCTTTTATACCTCCAAATCTCTGCCAGCACCCTCAGTTTGAGGACAAGGGAAGTTCGTAGCATAGGTTTTTAAATAACTGCATTTAAAAATAACAGCACTGGACCTTCTCTGCAAGATGACTTGATAGCCCTGACTAATCAGTTCCCAGATATGAGTGACTCATGGGTGCCTCTGTGGTCAATAGTATTGATAGCTACTACCACTTCTTGATTGACAAATAAGTTAAAAGCAATTGAGTGTATGCCAATTCCATGACCTATAGCTTCAAAGTTTTCAGTTAATCTGTAGTTTCTCGTAACTTCCGGTTGTTTTCAGGTAACTTACTCCTTACTGCGAGTTCTCAGCAAGCTGATGGAGGTCAGATCTTTACTGTCTTCCATTCCCCTGAGTTGTGGAAAAGATCATGTACTGAGGTCTCTCACACTGATTCTTTGTCATCTTCAGAGCACCTATTTCTCAAATTTCTTCTCTGAAAGTAAAGCCAATTGGAGCTCTAAGCTTAGCAACTGGCTTCAGATAGAGACCAGAGGGGACCTGAGAGCTGTCCTCCATCCAAGATCAGTGTCTGTCCTTTGCCCTAGGGCTAGGCAAGAAAAGGAACAAAGCTGCAGAACAGGCCACTCTCATCTGCACCAGTGATGGGATCCTGCTGATTGACTAGAAGTGCAAAAGAATATATGAAGTCCTGGGCCTGTCAATCCCAGGGCTGCTCTGACTGCTCAGAGGGAGAAGTGCTGAGAAGAAGCAAGGTAAAATAATGAACTCTTTTTTTTAAGAAACCCAAAGGGACTGTGCTGTGGCAAGTTTACCACGATGAAGCAGTGATGCACAAGGCGTGGGTTGTGAATTTTAAAGCAGAGTGTAAAATTTTTTTAGGAGTTCAACAAATCATACCCTGAGAAAAATCCCAAAAGCAAATAGCTTAGGCCTTGAGCCAGGGATGTTCTTAGAAATTCATATCAATTCAATTCTATAAACCAAGGATCTCAACCAAAGATTCTGCTACTTGGGAGACATTTTGCAATATCTGGAGACCTTTTTGGTTGTCACAGCTAGGGGGAGGGTACTACTGGCATCTGGTGAAGAGAGACCAAGGATTCTGTTAAGCATCCTACAATGCATGGGATAGCTTTCCACAAGAAATGATTTTTCAGCCCCAAGTGTCAATAGAGAGCCTTGAAACCCTGTGTTGAACATACATACATGAAGCATACGAACATGAAAACTTGGTCCTGCTCTCATGGAGCCTACATCCAGGCTGCGGTTAAGAGTGGGGATGGGACAGGACAGGGAAGATGGACAGGTACAGTTCTCAGAGATGTTGGGGACCAGGGAGAAAAAGAAGCCCAAAGAGGCCCAAGGAGTGCTCTAAGCCTGCTTTGTTCTGACACTAGCTGGCAGAGGAACGAGGAAGGGAGAGACGTGGTTAAGAAGGGGGCAGAGCCTGAGCCCACAGGTTCGAGACCAGCCTGCACAACTTGGCGAGACTTCATCTCTACGATAAATAAATTTTTTAAAAAGAAAGAAAAGGGGCAGAGTTGCCACTACGATATGGGAAGAGTGAGTCAAGCCTGTGGGTCCCTTGCTTTGGGTATATGGGGAAACGTTAGGATTTGGGATCCAGACATTTGGCTTGATACCAACCAACACGGCCTGAATGGGTTGAGGAGGGCCAAAAGGAAGACTTTCTGCAGGAGAATCTGTAAGGGAGAAAAGGAGTCAACCGAGGGAACAGGAGAACCTCCAGAGAACGGCATACACAAGACACCGAGACACGATGGCCTGTAACACCTTGGGAACTGCAAGGAGGAGTCTGTGAGTCCAGTTTCCTCATCAGGAATATTGGACTGTGAAAGCAACCCAGCAGAGAGAGGCGCGATGTGACATCTGGAGAGTGCCGGGCGGTGTCCCCACCCCCTTCCCAAAGCCACCCGCCGTGGACAGCGATTTGGTCCCATTATTCCCTGCCTGGGCTTCTATTACCAAGCTAGCCGTCTAAGTATTTACTGCAAACTCCTTTTTAGGCAACTCCAGGAGGGGGCAGATCAGACAGCCACGTTTGCTTCCTTCACACGGAGCCCTTAGGAAGGACCTTAGAAAGGTGGGGGAAGGAAGGAAAGGCCAACACTGACCCCCCAGCTCACGCCTTGAGGAAGGCGCCCACCCTGGCCAGGAGCAGCGCTACCGGGCATCCGCAGTTTCGGGGGCGTGAAAACGCCCCCCTCTAACCCCTCACCGCCCGCCCCGCCTCGCCTCCCAGCCGAGCCCTCTGAGAGATCTCTGCGTCCTCTTCAGAGATCTCGGCGTCCGGAGAGGGCGGGCTCCTCGTTTCCCGCGGTGTCCTCGGCCACCCGGCGGGGCC